CTGCCGAGAGATTTCTGGCAGAGAATGAGGGACAGACCGCCCTGTAAGAAACCGTCCCCCACATTGCCCAGGGGTCCCACCCCCAGCCCCTAAGCATCCAGTGCTGGTGGTGCCCACAGGGGGAGCAGTCACAAAACACCCCGGGACAAGATGCCGCTCTGAGCAGAGGGTGCGGAGTGGGGAAAGAAGAGGGCAGGGGCCTGAGCAAGGCCAAGGAGGGTGAAGAGCCAGCCAAAATGACTTGCCAGAGGGATTAACCATTCTAGCAGCGCCAAATTAAAGCATATATAATCCCGTGCATCTGTTGGTGGCTCTGTAATTAATACAAAATAATTACATCTTCGCGCCTGGCTCTCCCTCACAGACTCCACTTAATGAACATTGCCAACGACTCTGTAGATATGTAATTAAATTTTTTATTTATTTCTGTTGTATTCGTAGAGGAGTCGCTCAACATATTAGAAAAAAGAGGGGCAACCCCGTGTAGCAGCGAAGCGTGACCTCCGCCGTTTGCGAGGCAACCCAGGTCTCTGCTTTCTCTCTCTGAACCCACTCCACGGGATTCCTCTGAAAGCAAGGAATACAAAGGCTAGTTCTGTCTCCTCTCCTGGGTTTTCTAGTTTTAATTTTCTGCCAGAGTTCCCTCTTTAGACCTAAAGAAAAATAGGTTTTTCTTCTTTTAAAATAAAGAATAATAAGAAAGGGTATATTGTCCCAACATGGTCCAAAATGCAGGTGTCCTGTGTACCATTCTCCTCTGGTACAGCAGCACTGACCTTCCAGAAGAATCCATTACGTGGTGGGATATGAGGAGGTCTCTCAGATGGAAATAATGCCATAGCCAGGTCTGAACAGAAGACACATGGATCTGGAATTTAACTGAGTAACTACACAGATATTCTTGGGGAAATGACTTTCCTTTATTAATAATGCCAGCATTTAACACTATAATACACCAAGCCATCACAGGCAATATAAAAAGCAGTGATTGAAGAGACAAAAAAAAACCCAGAATCCGAATACCCTTCTCCCACTTACCCGCCGGGTGACCACGGGCTCACCCCTCTGATGCCCATGTCCTCGCTGGGAAGTGCAGACGCTGTGAAGCTGACACTCAGGCTTGGGCTGAGTATGGAAAGCATAGGACAAACTCGGGAAATGTCACGTGGTCACTACAAAGGGCCCTTTCACACCGAGACTCAAAAAAGCCAGCAATTTGAGTCAATGATCAGAGACTGAGATCTTCAGAACTCTCGGCTTCCTTGTTTTCTGTACAAGAGTCTGTCATTAAGGTGTTTTTCAGAAATGGCACTCAGGTATATGAGAGAGCGCTTTGCAGGGAAGGAAGGGGTTACCAAACCAATCTGGGGAGCCCTGTGTTACATGAACACATGTTGTGTTTGGTCGGGTTGGGTTTTAATTGCAGCATTTCTCAGTCTTTAATATGCTAAGGTGTATTGTGATTTCCGAGAAGGGGACTATAAGATAATAAAATTATGACTTTCTTTCTCCTTGCTCCCCTCCCAGAACACAAACTTTGCCCTAAGAGAAACCCAGACAGAAACGTTTGAGTGTTGATCAGATCTTTTACAGGTTCAAGAGAGTGATCGATGAAAGGAGGTTCTGTAAAACTGGTTCCACATTAATATCATGGTCAGGGAGGCGAGAGCGAGGGCTTCCAACAGACCTCACATGAAGCCACACCAAGACTTCGTCCCGTTGTACAATGGAAGGCACTCTGTTCTCTAGGGAAGATCGGCTTTGTCATTCATGTCCTCTTTCCTTCCCTCCCTCCTCTGACCTTCTGATGTCCTTGCAAATTCTGGCCTCTGCTTTCTTTCTCTTTCTTCGACCCCTGTCTCTTCCTCCAACCACATAAACTTTCTCCTTCAGGGTCCCAGACCCGCCATGGGTTCCAACCAAGTCAGAGGAAAGGCAGCTAGCTTTTGCCTCTGAAACACAGACCTGGCGTCAAAGAGAGTGACGCCTTCCACTGATGGTGATCTCTCAACTCCCTGTGATTAGATAGGGAGGTGTCTGAAGAGAGGATGGGGACCCCCAAGGGAGAGGCCTAAATGTTAAGTCATCCTCCGCTGTGGGCCCGTGGACAAGTCACTAACCTCTCTGAGACCTTTTTTCCTATTTGTACTTTGACATTGTTTCAAGGGTTAGGGGTATCATGTGGAAAGTACCTGGCATTTGGTAGGTACAGAGGAACTGGTTGCCAGTATTGTAGTCATACATTCCTTACCAAGGGATTGTTTATATTGCCTGTTATGACTATTTTGCACATAATTTTTCTACATACATCAGGTGTCATATGAACTTCAACTTGTCTTTATTCTTCTACTAGAAACATGGAAATTTCCCCAAATATTAATTATATATAGGTTCAACATGTTTCTCACTAAATGATCACTATCACTAAATCATTGATTTTCAGTCTTTTTCATCTCAGGGCACACATAAACACTAAAATTCTGCAGCACACCAAAAAATTTATTACTATATTTTTTGCCCATCTGACAAAGAAAAGTATGATTTTGATTGATTTACAAAAAATAATAGTAGTAATAATTGCCTACCCATTGTGCTCTAAAGTGACTTTTTTAAAAAATCAGGTGCCTATATTTGTATATAGGGATTTCTGGAATCAAGAATTAACCAACTATCCAATGTGACTGATAAGATACAACTCCATTATATGTCCATTATATGTATGGTTCAAGACAAGGCATTCACACCACTCGGCTATGGATGTGTTGGCTGTTGTCATGTTTTTATTTGACAATATAAAGGGGGAAAAGGTCGGTATTGCATATTTTAAAAATTCTGGCAGGCACACCGGTTGAAAATCACTGCACTAGATAACAAGATATAAGCAAGGAACACCGCCTAGATGGGGCTAGTGGAAAATATATGCATTTTTACAGTAATCCAAATAGCACATATCTGAAAAAAATTCACTTCAGTAACCTCCCATAGCAAAGCACACTTTAAGCAGCACCTCCCACCACAAAAAAAAAAAAAATGGTCCCTTTTTAAAATATGTTTTTTATTATTCAAGTGCTGTTGACATATAATATTATATTAGTTTCACATGTGATTAGCATTTTACATAACCTATGAAATGATCACCATGGTAAGTCTAGTACCCATCTGGAAAAGGGTCCTATCTTTTGACTTGGGAATTTCACACTCGGGAATTTAAGCTTATGAAAAGACAACATACTGAAAGGCTTTAAACCAAAGTTGTTCATCACAATGTTATATATCACTAAATAAAATTGGAAGCAAGTTAAATGTCCACCATTAGAGAATGGTTATAGAAGCCATGTGGGTGTTCACAATGATACTTGCAAGTGGAAAAATACAGAGAGAAATATTACACAGTGGGTACTTACAACTATGTAAGCCCAACAAAAAATGTAGACAGCTCTGGCCTATGGTTAGAGTGTCGGCCCACACACTGAAGGGTTGCCAGTTGGATTCCCGGTCAAGGGCACGTTCTTGGGTTGCAGGTTCAATCCCAGCCCCAGTCGGGGCACACGTCTCTCACATTGATGTTTCTCTCTCTCTCCCACTCTCCTTCCTCCCTTCCACTCTTTGAAAAATCAATGGAAAAAAAATAACCTCAGGGGAGGATTAACAAAAGAAAAATGCACAAAGAAAACACTAGAAGAAAATATAGCAGAATGTAAGTAGGAGCTCTCTCTGGGTAGTGAGGCCATGTGAGGTTAAATATTTTATTTTTCAAAATGTTTTATAATGCAAAAATCACACAAAGTATCTTTATTTTAAAGTGTGGCTAAATGCATATAACATAAACTTTATCATGTTAATCATTTTTAAGTGTATATTATTGTACAGCCATCATCACCATCCATCTCTAGAACTTTTTCATCTTATAAAACTAAAGCTCTATCCCCATTAAATAAGTCTCCATCCCTCCTTTCCCCAGAGCTCCTGGAATCCACCTTCTGTTTTGTGTTTCTCTGAGTTTAACGACACTAGGTAGCTCAGATCATTAAAAGCATACTGTATTTGTCATTTTACAACTGCGTTATTTTCACTTAACACAATGTCCTCAAGGTCCATCCATGTCATCGAATGTGTCAGAATGCCCTTCCTTTCTGAGGCTGAATAATATTCCATTGGACGACTAGACCACATTTCGTCTATCCAGGCATCTGTTGATGAGCATTTGGGTTGCTTCCACCCCTTGGCTATGTATACTAATAATAGAGAAATATGCAAATTGTCTGGGACACTGTCACAGTAACAGTAACGATCAAACAGCAGGCTGCATGGGGCGAGCAGGCCAGCAGTGGGGCAGTTGGGGACGAGCAGGCCAGCAGGGGAGGGCAGTTGGGTGTGACCAGGCTTGCAGGGGAGGGCAGTGGGGGGCGAACAGGCCAGCAGGGGAGGGCAGTTTGGAGCGATTGGGCTGGCAAGGGAGCAGTTCGGCATCAATCAGGCCAGCAGGGAAGCGGTTAAGGGGTAATCAGGCTGGCAGGCAGAAGCAGTTAGGGGTAGTCAGGCAGACCAGCAAGCAAGCGGTTAGGAGCCAGCAGTCCCAGATTGTGAGAGGGATGTTGGACTGCCGGTTTAGGGACAGGGATCAGGCCTAAACTGGCAGTCGAACATCCCCCAAGGGGTCCCAGATTGGAGAGGGTGCAAGCTGGGCTAAGGGACACCTCCCCCATGCACAAATTTCATGCACTGGGCCTCTAGTTGTGAATAATACTGTGAAGATGATGTACAAATATCTCTTCCCTACATTATATTTTAATTTTTTTCCCTAAATTGGCTCTTCATTTCTGTATTCCATCAACAGGTTATAGCATACCCTAGACCAGACCTAACTAGGACTCTGCACAGAACATTAATACCAATGCACTGGTCTCAGTGGGCAATTTGACTACCTGGGGAAATAACCACCCGAGCTATCCCTCAGAAAATAACACACCTTTTTGTTGTTGTTCTGGTTCCCATTACAGGACAAATGCCTTAGTTCCAGCTCTCCAGCCTGGATCCCCTCACGCGGAGCCCTGGGTTGCACCACCCCCGCTTCTGACATTGAACTCCTGGCGCCCTGCTCTCGGAAGATTGCCCAAAAAACCCGCCCAGCCATTTCTCTTCATCCGCACTAACAATTTGGTAATGAAGTATTGATTTCCACTTCTCTGCTTATGGACGATATTAGATTTTCATTGATAAACTGCAGTGGGGCCGTCTCGTCTCCGTGGCCCCCTTTTCACTGTCACGAGGAAACAAAGTGCCCCCGAAGAAAAATCACGCCCGAGAACACCGATGGACTTATTTTGTCCGTTTGTAACACTTGACGGGAAAGGGTGGTGGGGGGAGTCGAAGTCTCCATAGCTTCATGTCCAAGTGGGCTGCACGAGCTGTGGCCGCTGGGAAGCCGGCTTCTCCGGGTAATGTCCGTTTCCTATTTATAACCCCCCTGGGAGCGTTTGTCTAAGGAAATGTTTCTGTTCGGAGCAACAATTACGGTTGCACCTGGATTGCCCAGTCCTGCCCCTGCACTGGGGAGCCATTCATCACCGCAAAGTGGAAGAATTATTAAGTTAAACCAGACTTTGAGCCAAGGAAACCTCCGAACAATGTTCGTCTTCTGTGAGAGCTGTTCAAACAGCCAGGCTTAACCGTGTGGCTGCCGGAGACGTGTTCCCACGCAGTGTGGGCATCTCTACGGTCGTCACCTTCACTGGGTTAAACAATATTAGTTTTAAGCCTGTGCCACTGTCGGAGGAGCCTGCAGATGGGGAGAAGGGGGAGCTCGGTGCGAGGCCCGCTCCGAGAGGAAGCAAGAAGCCGAGGTCACGGCCGGCTGGGAAGTTCAGCCGCAGCCTGGCCCGCCATCTCTCCGGCAGGACGTTGTTTATGGCTCTGAGGCGAGCTCGGCTTCAGAAGCAACGGAGAGCATGAAATAGGGTGTCCGTTTTAAATGTGTTTCTGCAACTTTTTTCATTAAAACTTTGAGGGCCCAATTTTAATTTGTGGAATATTCCCGTTAATAATGAGATCTAATTAAGACATCCATTAAAAGCCCGTTAAAGTTAATTTAACGTAAAAATTCCAATAGAACTGTATTAGATTTTCTCCATTAAATTAACGTTATGGATTTTTAACGGATGTCTTAATTATACGTTATTATTAACAGGAATACTGTATTACACAGATTAAAATCAGGTCTTGCGTCAACTTGGAAAAGCTACGAGTGTGTTTTAATATTAAAAGTCTTGCATACCTAGTGCACACTCTGGAAATGCAGGGGGTAGATCTGTTTACTCGAGTTGAGCCTTTTCTATACAACGGAAAGCAAGCACTAATAGAGAAATCCATCATTGCATTTAAACAGTGAATTTCCTTATTCTCAAAGGACAACTAAGGCTGGATTGTGTTGCAACCTGCTACTCAGCAATAGGCGATTCTTGGCACAACACAAAGAACTAGATGATTTTGAAACAGAAGGAATATTTTTGTTGTTGCTTTAATGACCAAGGTTATCACACACCAAAAAAATCTCAACACCCACAAAATGAAACCAAATATATCCTCTTCACCATTTCTCATGGAGGCTGCCTGTTGAATTGTTTTTGGAACTTTTGACATGATCCCTAAATTCAACATTGGGATTTAAAAAAAAAAAAAAAACTTCTTATTTACCTCCTAGGGAAAGTGTTGCCCTTATGCCACATATAATAGCAAATTGCTTTTTTTATGGCATGCATAACCTAGATGGGGAAAAATATGGCGCTTCGGGGAAGGAGGGAAAAAGTAAATGAAGTTCCAGGAATGTCATTCTGAAGTAATGAGGCATGGACAGAAAATACAGCCCTCACATCATCGGATTGAGATGGCAGTCGAAATAGCTTCATTGAGGTGTCAGCACTCATCCATCAATCAATCACCCACAAGGAAAAATCACAACAGTACAACGGGGCGGCTTTTATGGGATTTACTCATGGGCATAGGAAATAGCGGCTCAAATGTAGTTCTGACATGAAAAGCAAGGTGCTGATATTATTTTTTATGATGGGAGGATCATAAAGTGAATTGAGAACAGCGAGGTCTGTCTTTGCTTAACCTATTCAACCAGAAATGAATGGAGCTCAACCGGAAAGGAACAGTCTTTGGATGGGTTAAGATTGAAGGGTGGACTCTACTGAGCCCTGTCCTTCGACAACGAAATTCTATTAAAGGGAAATCAGTGCATTAGCATGGAGGTTCTTGAAGCTGTGCAAAATTGCCTGCTCCAACCCAGGGGTATTCGATAAAGTTTCATAATTCAGATTCTGCCGCAACGTCCAAAAGCAAAATCTTGAGCTCTTGTTCCAACCAGGGGGTGGGTGGAGGGGAACAATGCAGTTCTCAGCTCCGTGGAAATAGTCTCCCTTCTAAGAAAAAAAATAAATCATCTGCTTCAACATATAATCCATACAGTTTTGTTAGTGCAATTTCTATGGAGGGGTGGGGTGGGAGGCGAGAGACAAAAATATTGATAAATTTGGTAAGACTCATGAATCGTCGCTTGGTAACCGTAAATGTCACTGCTGAGGGACAGCTGCTAATGTTCTTAGGAAACAGATCTGGGCTCGCGCTGTGAAATACACACAATTCTGAGTATATTCCTAGAGACTCAGCCTGTCTTCATTTGGCAAGCCCTGCGAAGCTTCTAAAACTCCTTTCTGGAGGGAAAAACTAAATAGCATGAACTCAGGAGAATGTTTGTCTCTGCATTCATACCATTCTTCTCCTCTCTGTGAATAAATGTAGTTCTGATCAGCCGGGACTTGGGAAATGGAAAGGAAGATGACATGCAAATTACACTCAAGAATCTCCATCCGGCCACTGCCCCTGGTATCAGTGGGGGAGGGGGGAGGTTGCCTTTCCTTCCCCCTCCCTCTTTCTAGCTAAGGCCACCGACCAGCTGCAAAAGGAAGTGTCCATTGATAAAACTGTATAAATAATTAAGTTTTATGTATTTTGCCACATTTTACAACCTGTTACAAAACACTGGGGACACAGGGCAGAACAGGAAACACAATGTATTCAGCAACTTCATCCAACAATTCTTAGTGGGCAGCTGCTGTGCGCACACCGTCCTAGGTGCCATGGGGTACAACGTGAAGAAGTCACACAAGGCCCTGGGTAGGTACCGCAGCTCCCAAACATATGACACCAGACAGCTGGGGGGCGGCGGGGGGAGAGTGGGGGCTCACATGGGGTCCAACTCCCTGTGTTATTTGTGCTTTGGTTCTGTTTTTCAAAATAATATTCCAGAATAGGGAATTCTCCTTCTGAAAAAATATACCAGGAGGAAATAGCTTAAAAATAGGTCAAGGCCTAAAAGCAGAATATAATCATAGAATAAATTGGATAGCCCGGACAGTCCCCACGGAATTTCTTTAAGGTCACCAGTAGATTTCTTAAAACTCACCCCAAAATGTGCCTACTTGGTTGTTTGAGTCTTGCACAATTAATGTCACAGGCACAAGCCACTGAGCTTAGTTGAAATGCAGAAAACAAACAAATGAAATGATACATTTGGGAAGCACTTAGGTAACGCTGGTCAAGCAGTGAGGAGGTGTGTGTGTGTATGTGAGTGTGTGTGTGTGTGTGTGTGTGAATTTCACTGTTATTTTCTAGGGCCACAGTAAGAGTCTATGATTTTCTGAACGTTTTCACAGTAAATCCAAAGATTACGAGGCCTTCCAAGGTGCTTGCATTCTGTTACTTCTCCATCTGTCATTCCCCGGGTTATTTGTGTTCTAACCTTTTTCATCTGGTTTCATTTTTAAGCTTGTTAAATGTTTTTGCTTTTTTAAGAAGATTATAATGTTATTTTTCACATTATTATTTATTCTCTGCAACAAGAATAGAAGTATGTTGATGAATGCTAAAATAATAATAAGAAGGAGAAAATAAGTTGCAGGCTTTAAACACACACATATACATCTGTCCTTCTAAAGACCAATACAAGTATATCTATTTGGTTCATGCATTAGGCAACAACAAAACAAAAAAATCACAGCTGAACTTTTGATTTATGTCTTTGCCCCTGTAAGATGTCAAAATGTTAATTTCACTCCCTCCCTCCCTCTCTGTGGCACTTTCTCAAAATATCCACGAAATACTTGGAGGCAAAGACCTAGCAGGAAGGAGAAAGAGAGACAAATTTCCAGCCACCCCAGACAGACACACGTTTTCATTGTAGGGAAGCATTAAACGCTTGACACTGGTGAATCGTCTTTAGAATTTTCTACCAGGGAATCTCACCTCTTCATCCAAAGTACAAGCCACTTATCTCCTGTGGTTTCCTGTGACAGGTTCGGAGGCAAACCGAGATACACAATTTCCAGGCTAGAGTCAACCTCCTTCCCATAGTTACGGACCACGGGCTAGCAGGCGTGGGTGTTTCTCCGAAAATTATTCATGCGCAAGGCAGCCCAGAGCTTGAGGGAAAACTGGAAATGTTTTATGGATTAGGAGAGGACTGTTTTAAAATGCTGGGACCAGGTGGAACGGTATTTCTGCAAGAGGATCCTGGCCATTTCCTTCGGAAAAATATATTGCAAGCAAAATGGCTCTTACAAGGAATGGCACCCTGAGCTGACACCTCTTAGCATGCAAGTGATTTTCCCAATAGCCATCTGAGTATCACTGAGGCCTTTTAAAAGGACGATCTGTTTGAGTAAGTCAGATTCCACACTCACAGCCCTGTGTGCGATGTTTATTTGCTTAAAGCTGCTTTGGGAAGTGCACATAATAACTCTTTTGTGAGAACCCCCAAGAGAAGTTGAAAAATTTGAGCAAATGCATTCCTAAAAAAATAAACAAAAAAAATCTACCACTCCCTTCAACCCCTCCAGAAAATAAATTTCAGTGTGTTCACTGAATTATCTTGAACCCGAAACCTATCAGTCCCCAGGCAAAGGCTTATATTTACAGAACTTGAACAGTCATGCGCTTATATCTCAAAGGTGAAGACTTCGTGCAGTAATATTTTCGCTCGCTTTCTAATTGACCTATGTAACATCCAGGAATTATAAATGTGTGTGTATATTTTTTAAATACACAAAATTAAACCGGTCTGCAGAGAAAAAGTATAAACTCTTCATGCTCTGAGTTGCGATAAATACAACCGAAACGTTCTGGTGTTACAATACAATATTTTGGCTTATCACACATCGGATTCTAGAATGAGCAATGCAAGTCAAAAAAAGCTTCCATACGAAACAATTTTCATTTGGCTCAGGGTTCTTAAATGCCATGATATCTCGGGATACAGTATACTTTTTAGTCTCTGGCATGCTGGCATCTTTCTGACTTTTCTGGCTGTGATTTCAACAGCCAGGTAGGTACTATCAGCCTGCTATCATCAAAGTCCATATCCCTTTAAAGCCAACCAGGTAGTATCAAATACACTCTCGTTAGCGGTCAGCCCGTTTTTACTCTGCAGAATGCTTGTAGCTTTTTAGAAAATTTGACACATCTCCCATGTTTACATTGCATAATTCCATATTTACATGAATTCGGGGGTGGGAGGGTGCTTTTTGAAAAGACAGTGGCTGGGGGGCGGGGGGAGATAGGGCAGAGTGAGTTGGGAAAATTACATTCATCCTCACTCTGAAGGACAGTGTTTATTTGCCAGCAAAGAAAGGCAAACACATTTTTATACTAGGAAAGCAGGCTAGTCATTTTCCAAAAAAATTGGCGGCCACCATCCCTGTCTAATATCTCTGTGCGGACGCACTCATGTTCTAGGCCTGCATGCTGTGTATAATGCGTTTGCCTGTAGATGCGGAGGAAAGCCAGGATGGCTGGGAACGTACGCCCCGTTCATTTTTATACTGTACATATTTGTATATATTAACTATATTGCCATGTATGAACACAGATTTTGTTATATTTGCTTGTTTCTGTTTCCTACCAAACTGGCCCACAATGGGGATTCTTTTGTATAGAAGGGGGGAAAAAAATGCTTGTAACTTTTTGCTGATCATTCTCTTTCAATAGCTTATGAAAGCATTAGGTCTGAGTTTACAAAGGAATTCTGAGACCCACGTTTGTCTGTCTGCATGAGTCCCATCCCACTGCCAGATCGAGGGAGGAACCGGCGACTTCATTCCGAGTTTTCCTTTCAAGGCATGCTCTACCCCTTGGGAAAGCCGCGTAGATTACCCTCTTTGTATTTTATCTAATAGTGCCTGAAAATTTTTTAATGTCTTCTTAGAGGAAGAATTCATAATTGTCAAAATTTGAAACATTAGCTTAATTTTGTTTTTATGACCTTGCATTTCTTCTCTTTATTTATTCGGTGGCTGTTGTAATGGGGCCCCAGGCCATTCCTGACATCGGCCTGCTCTTCTTCTGCATTAAGGATGTTTTTAAAATTACAGAGATTATTGAGCCAACAGGCTGTTTTAATCAAATCCATGTTTCACTTGTTTTTGATGATTATAAATTGTCCTTGCAATGGAAAAAAAAAAAAGTTTTCTGCCAGGAAAATTATACCACCCTGTGGCCAAACAGATTCATCACAGATAGGCACCCGTGCCCACTCTTCTGGGGCCTGGAAAATTCGCCCCTGGCTGGTCACACTGACCTTCATCCCCCACCGTCCTGCACGCTAGTGCTCACGGCTGTGACTTAGCAAATGTCCACAGTCTGGGCCGCACTGTCACGGCCCAAAGACAAACAGCCCCGCTGGGAACAACGGCTTTCCGGCTGGAAAAAAAACAGGGATTTTCAGAAAAGGTGCTCCTGCTTGTGTCCGTTGGTGCCACCAGCCTGTCGTCCCTCCTAATTAGAAACAATCTGGTCTTGATGTCCCCTATCACTTACATTAGGTTAAAAAAATTTTAAAAAAACCTTCAGATCTGCTCTCCTCATTGAATGACTTGGTTTGGGTGCAGTCAAGATGTGTGCCTGCGATCGAGCTGCAGCGTGGACGTTGTCTCTAGAAGGAGATATTATGTAAAGTATAATTTCACCAGTGGAAATAAATTCTGATGGTGGAGATGAAGGAAACCCTTAAGTTATATCACCGAAGCCATTATTTTTTACATCTAAAGAGTTTGGGGTTGTTGTCTTTTTAGGAAAATTATTATACTTTAGAATTGTAATTAAAACCCTCAATAACAGTACTTCTTTTCACTATTGTGAAAAAATAACAACCACACGCTCGCCAAGGTTATGTGGAGCCCCTCATTTCCATCCAAAAGCTTTTTATAAGAGTATTATTTACATTTTTGAACATGATAACTCTTTCCTTTCTGACAAAAAATAAAATAAAAAAGTCCTTTATTTCTTCCCACTCAGCAGTTATTGGGATAGACTGTGCCCATCTGAAGCCTTATCATAATTTGCATCGGGAAAGCCAACAGCCGGCACTAAGGACCTGGGTGTACTCACTGGTGATGTTGCTGTTCCTC